AGCGCGGAGCTGGGCAGACGTCCCAGGTCCCCGCTGGAGTGCGGTGACCGTCTAAAGGCGGGTGCGTCGCCGAGACCCGGACCTACCTCCTTTGAATCTCCCCGCGTCCTGGCCAGGCGGGAGACTCTGGTTATTTGCTAACGCACTTCGTGGATCCGAACGTGGCTCGGCTCGGAGCACGCCCGGCGACCTGTAGGACTCCAGCCCTGGCCGCGGCCACCGCTCGCGGCTTTGGAGGACTCCGCTGGGTGGGGGCTCGCGGGTGTCGGTGTGTGCCGCGCGCGGGCCGGCCGGAGGTTGCTTTTGGAGGAGGGCCGGTGGCAAGGTGGTTTGGGATTTTCTGGGAAGCATGGAGGAGAATGATTCCAAGCCCAGCGAGGCGGCGGCGGAGGCGCAGAGGCAGCCGGAATCCAGCCCTGGCGGCGGCTCCGGTGGCGGTAGCAGCCCTGGCGATTCGGACACCGGCCGCCGGCGGGCTCTGATGCTACCCGCGGTCCTGCAGGTGCCAGGCAACCACCAGCATCCGCACCGCATCACCAACTTTTTCATCGATAACATTCTGCGGCCTGAGTTCGGCCGCCGAAAGGACACGGGGACGTGCTGTGCCGGTGCGGGCGGAGCGAGAGGCGGCGAAGGCGGCGCTGGCGGTACAGAGGGTGGCGGCGGCGGCGGCGCAGGCGGAGCCGAACAGCTCCTGGGGTCCGGCGCCAGGGAATCCCGGCCGAACCCAGCGTGCGCACCCAGCGCCGGAGGGCCGCTCTCCGCCGGCGGCGGCGACTCTGCGGCTGACGGAGAAGGCGGCTCCAAGACACTTTCGCTGCACGGCGGTGCTAAAAAACCCGGCGACCCTGGGGGTTCCTTGGATGGGGCGCTCAAGGCCCGAGGCTTAGGCGGCGGTGACCTGTCGGTGAGCTCCGACTCGGACAGCTCTCAAGCCAGTGCCACCCTGGGCGCGCAGCCCATGCTCTGGCCGGCTTGGGTCTATTGCACGCGCTACTCTGACCGGCCTTCTTCAGGTGAGCCCGGGGGACCGGGGGTCCCAGCCCGCTGAAGGGAGACCCGCGAGACTGGGGAGGGCTCTTCCCGGAGAACTTGCACACAGGGAAAGAATCACATTTTCTCCTGAACACACACAAAGGCGCACACTCCTCACCGACAGCGGCCCTGTCTCGCCAATGCTGGACAGAGCAGCGGCCAGGC